CACTCATTTCTTTGCAATTTGTTATGGAGTGAATGTGCGAATCTCGTATGAACGATTATTATTATTTTGCTTCAGGCTTCATGAAAATTCAATCGAATTTGAATTTCTTAGAGTTATTTCAAAGATAAAGAACTGTAGTACATGATGGAACATTTGAAATCTAATAATTGAAAGAAACAAAATGGTGGAGAATCCAGAATTTTTGTGATTTTCAAAAATCTCTGGCGAATAACAAAATGTTTATGCTTCCAATCAGGAACGATACAATTCTAGATCATTGATTTCTAAGTAGAATGAGCACTCGAACATCTGAATCGAATAATTAGTCCAGGAGAAACACGTTTCTTTTTGCAAAGTGTTATGGACATATCACTGATACGAATGATTTTTCCAAGCTCATCAAGTTCAGAGTTTATACAAGTATACTTCTCCTGTACATTTCAAGTTCCATTTCAATACTGAACATATTGGTGAGTCATATTTTTATATCTTGATAAATCATATTATTTTATCCGATTTGAGAGAGAATGAAAATTCTCAATTTCGGATCATTTTCATTTTTCATGTTCTCTTCTTGGATGTTCAACAGACATAACTCAATGTTCGACGTGGCGAATAGCCAGGAAAATAGTTGTTTTCTGTTGAATATTCAGAATGATATTATGTGCATGTCTTCATATGAAGGAGAATGTAAATTCTCTGCTTCAGAAGATTTTGTTTTGAAATTTTTATCGTGTGTGTTCAATAGATGTAATTCAATGTTCGTCGTGGCATATAGCCAGGAAAGTAGTTGTTTTCTGTTGAATAAACCGAGAAAGAATCGATATTTTCATCTCATAGAGAATGCGAATTCTCAATGTATTTCTTTATATATATATATATCCATTTTTTATGTTCATAATTATATCTGAGAATATTCCTTTTCATTCTACATAATATCTTCCGAATATTTTCGATAAATCAGGCCACAGTCTTTTGGGCAATCCGGCAAAATTTAGGGATTTTTGACTTTGACATTGACCTCACGTTTTAGTAGCGGCAACTGTTGAGAGCAGTGAAAATGTTAGCCCTCATTGATGGGCAATTTCGGGTAGAAATTATAACGAGAATGTCGGTTTGTCAATTATTGTCAAGTATCAAGTTTATTCAATAACTCTGTCAAATTTCAACTGATTTCCAAAAACGATGCACCAGAGTATTTGCTTCGAAATAATGTGTTGAAAGTAGGGTGGTTCCACTTGAAATTTCAAAGTTGGGGTTGCTGGGGGTTAGAGGGATGAACACATCAAGTTGGATCAACTGTAGAACATGCTCCTCCCAAGTATAAAAATCTACGTGTCTTGGCGATTTCTGGTACAGGATTCGGTTATCTACTTTATAGGGGGGGGTCAACTTTTCGTTGAAAGACCCTGTATATTTATAGACTTCCTTCAATAACTTTCAGGATCAGAATTGGAGCCCCAATAGCAAAAAATTCTCTCGGAACAATAGATGGATTGGTCTACAATTGTGATATGAATGGCTGTGAACCAATTGAATTACCAAAATGTGAGAATTTATTTTTTGTGTCAAAAGTGGAATTGTTTTGAGAATTTTTTTCATTTACAGCCATCTTTCGCAATGAAAGAATCAAAGAAAAATTGGAACATGGGTGGATAGGAGGAACAATGGACATAAGTTACGAATTTGATAGGATGACGGTGAGTATGTACAGGATGATTCACCATAAATGTCCCCCCCTCTAGCTCAGTTATTTTTGAACCGATTTCAAAATTTGAAATATCATCTTAAATGATTTTCGATAAAGTTTTTTTTCTCTACATCATAAAATACAGGGTGCTCGGAACAAACGATCTACAGGGTATTATTTGATTTTTTTATATGGAACACCCTATTTTTCATTGTATTTTTAGAATCTCCCTGAAGAGCTGATTTGATCAATGCATCACACTTGTGGTCTAGTGGGAATGATTACAGAGATATAGGGTGTTCAAAATCGAGATTTTTCAACTTTAGGATTTTTTTGAGACGAAACTATTCATTATCGGTCAAAACGGCTTTCATGTCCGTGTCTTAACTTTTGATTCACTATCTACTGACATTTAATAATTGGAACAGATAGAGAGGGTGATCAGAATTCTGAATCTTGAACCACCCTGTAAATGTATTAATTAAATGTCAGTAGACAGTAAATCAAAAGTTGAGATGGGGACAAAGAAGCCGTTTTGACCAATAATGAATAGTTTCGACACAAAAAAATCCTAAAGTTGAAAAATTTCGATTTTGAACACCCTATATCTCTGTAATCGTTCCCACTAGACCCCAAGTGTGATGTATTGATGGAATCAGCTCTTCAGCAAGAATATAAAAATACAATGAAATACAGGGTGTTCCATTAGAAAAAATCAAGTAGCACTCTGTAGATCGTTTGTTCCGAGTACCCTGTATTTTCTGATGCAACGGGAAAAAAATTATGAAAAATCATTTTAGATTATTTTTGAAATTTTTAAATCGGTTCAAAAATAAGTGAGCTAGAGGGGGGGACATTTATGGTGAATCACCCTGTACAGGGTGTCCCAAATTCGAGCCTCATCATTGGGATCTCGGAAACTAGAAGAGATACGAGGTCGGTTAAATGGAGGCAAAGTTGCGCAATTTGGTGCTCATCAAAACGCCGCTTTGATATTTGGAAAATTCCGAATACTTCCGAAGATTTTTGGAAAAAACCGAATATTCGCGATTTCATTTTTATTTTTTTATGACTCTATTTGAATAGATGTAACAAAACAAATTACACATTCTCATTGCTACTTTTTTTGTTCTACAAGATGGTGTTATCAGATTTTCAAACCGACGTTTCGTATTTGAGCTGCCATCATCAACTTTGTTTTTTTAAATACGGCCCTGGATTTTTTATTATGGATTTCAAAAGCTACTAATGTCCCAAAACTAATGATGTATCGCACTTATTCAAAAAGTTTATATTAATAGCATTTTCCATAAAAACTCATGTGTTAGAGAGAGAAAGATAATAGATTTTTGGTAAGATCTTGGCAGGACATCGTTAAAATGATTTTTTCGAAAAAGAACGATACATCATTGGTTTTAGTACCTTAGAACTCTTAGAAGCTCCTAAAAATTGAAATAAAACAATGTGTGACAATATGCATGATGTTTTAATTATTCCAAAAAAAAGTCAAACGAAAACTATTAAATTGAATACCCAATGAAGGTTAAAGCAAATATTCAAATTGCAATCCACCTGCTTGAATGCATTTTCGTGTTAGTCTGTGAAGTTTATGGATGGCACGCTGAATGGTCCTTGCAGGGATAGCCCTGATCTCCCTTAATAGGTCTTGTCGTAAAACTTCAAGATTTTGTGGCGTGTTTCGATAAAGACGGTTTTTGAGAAATCCCCAAAGAAAGTAGTCTAGAGGGTTTAGGTCGGGGCTTCTAGCTGGCCAACGTACGGGACCTTGGTTTCCAATCCATTTATTAGGGAAAAATTCGTTTAATAAATTTTTAACACGTCTCCCATTATGAGGTGGTGCACCATAGTTGACGTAATCCTTCCAAAGGTTCTTCCATTAAGGAATCCAATATATTGGTCCTTATTAATTCTGCATATCTATCGGAATTTAAGTTTCCTTCAAGAAAAAACGGGCCGATAATTTTATTGTGCCACATACCGACCCATACGTGAAATGATTGTCGTCCCTGAGGTCTTACTTCTTGATTCTGCCTTGGGTTTTCTATTGACCAATAGTGTTCGTTATGTCTATTAAATAGTCCATCTGTTGAAAAACTGCATTCATCTGTCCATATAGTTTTATTTAGGAAGTCGTCATTTTCATTAATTCTATTTTGCAACCAGTTACAAAATTGTAATCGTCTCTCAGCATCGCCCGGTCTTAGTGTTTGACTAATATGAATTTTGTAAGGTTTATATCCACGCTTATTTAAAGTTCTCCAAACTCTCATTCGCGGTAATCCTACTTCTTCTGCGTAAACTCTAACCGAAGCTCGGGGATTATTATTGGCCTTAAAAAATAATTTAAAATTATTCATTTTACTTCCTACTTTGTAATAGTTTTCAAACTTACAGTGTTCAAGATAATTTGTTCCTCTTCTGGATCGATTCGTCTTCCATATTCAACTCTTGGCTTAACAAAACTTCCGTACTGAGCTAAATTATTATCAATATTAGCAAAATAACTATAATGCGGCTGCCGTCTCTCTGGATATTCCAACAAATAGCGCTCACAAGCCGTTTTTGAATTTCGATTCGAAATATAATAAATCCTTATCATGTCTCGTTTTTCTTCGTTAGAAAAAGTCATTTTGGTTCAATAAGCGTTAACGATTAGTGAACGCACAGTGAACTGTCAAAATATTGGATAATTTAAACATTAACAAATGAACTAAGATAGCCGAAGTGCACGATGCACCGCCACTTTGATAAAATGCAATTATTTTTGTAAATATAGCCTAGGGCCTACAGTTTGAGGGATGACACTTTAATTACATTATTTATTAACCACCCACTTTTATGTTAGTTTTTCAGTTTTATGCAATGCGCTATTGCAAAAAAAGTTTGTTTTTAATCCTATTAAACATCTAATTTTTGTCTCTCTCTAACACATGAGTTCTTATGGAAAATGCTATTAATATAAACTTTTTGAATAAGTGCGATACATCATTAGTTTTGGGACATTAGTAGCTCTTGAAATCCATAATAAAAAATCCAGGGCCGTATTTAAAAAAACAAAGTTGATGATGGCAGCTCAAATACGAAACGTCTGTTTGAAAATCTGATAACACCATCTTGTAGAACAGAAAAAGTAGCAATGAGAATGTGTAATTTGTTTTGATATATCTATTCAAACAGAGTCATAAAAAAATAAAAATGAAATCGCGAATATTTGGTTTTTTCCAAAAATCTTCGGAAGTATTCGGAATTTTCCAAATATCAAAGCGGCGTTTTGATGAGCACCAAATTGCGCAACTTTGCCTCCATTTAACCGACCTCGTATCTCTTCTAGTTTCCGAGATCCCAATGATGAGGCTCGAATTTGGGACACCCTGTACAGGCAGATAATCATCATGGTACATCCTGCTCTTATTTTCAAATATTGAAAAAGATTCAAATTGAAATTGGCATCTTAATCGGTAAGCTCAGCTTTTATCATCATTAACATTGTAGTCAACCATTTATCATGCAACATTTACATATATACAGTGTCATTCATAAAGTCAGTATCATATGGGAAAAAAATTAATGATAATTCATTTCGATATTCGACTTGGGAATTAAATTTTGCTTTGAAAATAAGAAAAATGGACTCTTCGGTCGGGGTCACACATGACTTTCACTTCATGTCTGAAGTTACATATTTTCACATTAATCGCTGGAAATTTATTTTTCTCCGCATGACATCAAGTGTGGCTTTTAATGACACTTAACAGTCAGAAAAGGTATACTTTTACTGCCTAGACAGAAAAAGCTTGTTGCTATGCAACGTTCCAAGTAATTTGAATCAAATTGGTAATCAAAATTGACAATGACTTTGGTTGAACAAGGAATGATGGGTTCTTTGGACTTTTCGTGAAATTGAAAAAAAGTTGGAGAAAAAATTATGTTTCACATGACAGAAATGAAGATGAAATGCCTTGGCTGGTTTCGTAGCCTCGGCTACGCTTAGGCTATGAAACGCCAGCCGCGGCTTAAAATCTCGTACTTTTCTGCCTAGTTAAACAAATAACTATTGTTCGATTTTCGAAAAAGTTTACTTAGTAAAGTTGTGTCTATTCCAAACTCACACATGTGCCTCGAATTCGAACGTTTTATAACAACTTTTAGTTTTTGATATTTTTCAATTTCAACGCAATTTCTGTAATGGTAAGAACAAATTATCCTAGTAGCTTCATTATGCTACTAACTTATAAAAAATATGATTTTCTTCAGAAAATTATAATCCCCGCTTCAAAATTTTGTTGTTTGATGCAAAGTTGATGTATTGAAACTTATTTTAATTGATTTTTTCAGTACTAAAGTGGCTCCTAAGTCATCTATCAAAATATCATCAAACTACTTCACCTATCTCACCAAAGTTTAGGACAGCTCTGTTGCAGTTTCAATTAAAATGAATAAAAAAATATCAATAACTAGAAGTTGCAAATAGAACGTTCAAATTCTTGACACATGTGAAAAATTGGAATAGGAACAACTTTTCTTATTTAAATCTCTGGTAGTAGTCCAAGCTCAAATTGGAGGTGATCAAAAAACCAAAATTCAAAAATGTTTTTTAAAATTATTTTGGGCTTAAAACCCTCATGAACTATGTTGTCAATTTTATAGTTTCTTTTCTAGCAAGGTATGTCACCCATTTTCCAATAGTGATGGAACTTCTTTTATTTATAAGTGTATTTTAGCCTGATGATGACTCCTAGGAGTCGAAACATGTAGCATATATGATTTGATTATAATTTACTTGGAGCGAGACTTTGAGTTTGTTCTCTTAATTATTTTCTTATTTTACTTTTCTGAAATTCAAACAGATAAACTCATTTTCAGCGATAAATTTGAAAAAAATCAACTCTTGATATGTAGTGAAAGTCACGTGACTCCGACAGAGTGGGCCATTTTTAAACTTTTTTAGGCAAAACTTAAGGCACAAGTCGAATTTCGTAATAAGCTATTATTAAAAGTTTTTCCAAATGATGCCAACTTTATGAATGACACTGTATATTTGTGGAAGTATATATTTTTTAACATATTCGTTGCCCCAGAAGAATACTGACGCAAATGCAAAAAAGGTAATTTTACAGGAGAAGGAGAACACGAATTCAAAGTTAAAATTTTTCGATTTCCAAATAAGCGATTTCATTTATAACTTTGAGCCTACTTCAATGTAGTATGTTCGAAAAGATTGAAATTATGTCTTTATTCCTGCTAAACGAAAAAACATCTTAGTCAATTGTGTCCACACTTGAGAATTTCCCTTGGTTCAAAAATAAAAATAGATGAAGGATTTCTTTGATTTCAACTCCAAATGATATTTTCTGTTCACTTATGAGCAATATGGTAGAAGCTAGAAGTGATTTAATTTCAATAGAATAATTGCACTTATGTGGGCCATAATCTTGCAATAATTGTTATTATAACTGAAACTTTATATATTTCCGAACATCAATAACAACCCTCGAATGATGAACTCAGGTACCCAACTGTCAAAAACAATAAGAACTGAAAAATAATATGCAACTGTTTAATCAGAAGAACCCTGATTTCGGAATTTCAAATATATGCTAAGTATACAGTGTGTCCCAGATTGGCTTTTCTATACAGGGATCTCGGCTCCTATTATACCTACAGAAGACGTTAAATGGGAAAAGTTTTAGAGGAATCTTAATGCATTTGATAACCGGCTTCAGATTTACGATCGGATAATTGGTTTTGGAAATATCGGCGAAAAACCGAAAATGACGGACTTCGTTTGTCGCCAGTAAATCCGAAACGGTTAATTTGACAGCTGTCAAAATGTCACATTATCTGGACACTTTTTCGAAACGTATAGGATAGCATGCATGACATGTCTTGATCGTATTTTGTTATCCCGCAAGCCGCCTCAACTTTCATTTTTCTTATGGCCGCCATATTGGAGTTTTAGATTTTTGAAAGAGCGAAAAATTTCCAGTCTAGTGATGTCTCACAAGTGCATAAAAGTTTTGAGTTTCATCGAAATATCACACTTCGTAAAGTTAGGTCTTGATTTTTTCTAAGGAGGCCATGATTTACTTGTCAAAAAATTGGGTTTTTATAGGTCACACTTTTCCCATCTAAGGATGCTCTGAGTTTGACATTAAATAGTTCAAAGCATCAAAGTTGTGTTTTAATAAAGAGTACTTGTAATCTGACACACAAATTGTCTCAATTTGTTGAAAATGGCCGGTATTCCCTATTCTAATGAAGAAAAGTTTGACATGTTAGCGCTGTACTTGCAGTTACGCAGAAACGCCGACATTACTTCAGCAAGGTATTTGGAGATGTACCCCGATCGACGGCAGCCTCATAAAACCTAATTTGACGAAAGAATTATTTCTTTAAATGGTCCAATATCTGGGCCCCCTAGATCCCCTGACCTCTCACCTTTGGATTTCTACCTCTGGGGTCACACAAAGAATGAGGTCTATGAATTTGATCCTCCTGCGACCATAGAAATCCTGAGACAAAAAGTTCTGGACACATATTAACGGGAATACACTTGCTAGGGTTGTAAGAAATACAGTCACCAATTGTCAGAAATGTCTCGATGCAAATGGACGTCATTTTGCAAATCTGTAAATTAGTAAAATTAACACTCATTTAAAAAGCAGTTAGGAACATAATTAGATGTCACTTTACATGACATCATGTAAAATATTTCTGTTGCAATTTTCATTTTCAATTTGTATCTACTTTGTAGGTTGTTTAAAGGTTCAAGTGTTAATTTTATTAATGACGATGATTTTTCTGACTTGTTTTTTTTTCAACACCCACAGTTGGGAATTTGTCCCAAAATATCTTATCTGTTGAGAAGTCGTTATTTACGTTCATGTTCTATTGAAAACTCCATGCGTTTATGCGTTTTTTTATGCGTGTTATTTTCTGACAAGTAAATCATGGCCTGCTTAGAAAAAATCAAGACCTTACTTTACGAAGTGTGATATTTCTATGAAACTCAAAACTTTTATGCACTTGTGAGACATCACTAGACTGGAAATTTTTCGCCCTTTCCAAAAATCGAAAATTCCAATATGGTGGCCATAAGAAAAATGAAAGTTGAGGCGGCTTCCGGGATAACAAAATACGATCGTGACATGTCATACATGCTATCTTATTCGTCTTAAAAAAGTGTCCAGATAATGTGACATTTTGACAGCTGTCAAATTGACCGTTTCAGATTTACTGGTGGAAAACGAAATCCGTCATTTTCGGTTTTTTGCCGATATTTCCAAAACCAATTATCCGATCGCAAATCTGAAGCCGGTTATCGAATGCACTAAGATTCCTCTAAAACTTTCCCCATTTAATCTCTGCTGTAGGTATAAAATAGGATCTGAGATCCCTGTATAGAGAAGCGAATCTGGGACACACTGTATAAGAAACTGGACATTTTTAATTCCAAAAGACGAAAAGCAAAATGTAAATTGGGGCTTATTCACAGGTAACTGTAAATCAGGAGATGTTGAGCGAAAAGTTGTATCTGTCTAATTTACAGTCGCAATTGTAAATTAGGGAATATAAAAAACAAAAAAGGATCTATAAATCATGCAAATATTGTGAAGAAACAAATTGTCTTATTGTATTATTTCGTTTGGAAGATGTCGTGCAGTCTCTGAAATCAATTGGGAATATCAATATCTATAATCTTTTCCATCGATGATATGTATCACTTCGTATTTTATTTGTGAGGATTTGAACAGGAAATGTATAATCATCTCCAGGGATGACCATCAATTATGGAAAATTATCAATTCCATTAATGATTCGATTCGTTTTATTGCTGTTTTTGTCTCATTGATAACAGAAAAAGATTGAAATGTTTCAATTAATTCTCTCGTCGGAAAGAACAGTTGGGTGATTCAGAATCTGAATAATCCGATATGTAATATGGACTGAAAGTGCAATTATGATGAGAAGCAGATAGTATTTCAGAGGAGAAAATGACGCTTGGGATAGTTATGTTCATTATTTCTTTCATATTGAGAAGGAAACAATGGCTTAAGTCGATATTTCTCCAAATTCCATAACGACGTAACTTACATCTACCCAGCCAACCATGAGATGTATAAGTGATGTATACGCCACATCACTTTGTGACATGCGATATCGCATTTGAAGTCACAAACATGTTACCGATACAACGTGGCGATGTGAAAATGTCCGACTCAAGCAACATCACTGTGACGTCGTTCAGACATGAAATGTGACATCGCATGAAAAATCACTACCAGGTCACATAAAGTGTACATTTCATATTAAAAATACATCACACTGCGACATCCATGATGTGGTCGCCGTACCTGTGATATTCGTGGGATATATAATGATAATTATTATTCAACTTTACGAAGAAAATGTTTATTTTCCGAAAGTAAAAACAGATGATACAAAACTTATCATGACAATCACCCTAATTAGTATTCTTGAAGTAAAAAATGACACATACATATATCAATACAAATATACATTATTCATAAATGAAACATATAAAATACACTTACATTATTTTGGGATCTTTCATCCACCTTGTTTTAGACTGCAATATTCCTATCCCAGAGATAATTACAATATTACCCATTGTGATTGAACTCACCGTCGTTCCTAAATGATTGTATACCTCCAATTTGAAGCTGCTATAATATGTGCTATAAATCATCAGATATTTCAACAGAGAATTTGAAAGGAAATAGTCTGTACGGAGTCGGACTCACTCACTGACTGACTGACATGGCCATGCACAGCTCAACATGGCGTCTGGCGTGTGCGTTCGTTTTGCGCATGTCTGCGTCACACTCACAGGTCACAAAGATATCTCATGAGGATATCAATGTGAATTATTTAGTTAACGTCGATGAAGAGATGTAGTTTGAAGAAGTCGCTGCCACATTACATAGTTTCCTGGTTGCGATGTCACCTTGCGACTTTGATATCGAATCTACGTCGATAAGATGTGTTAACGAGATATTGCATTTATGCAAGGTTGTTACATCACACAGATGTTGATGTCACACGATGGTTGGCTGGGTAGTGGTCAAATATTTCACTAAAAGTATGGCATCATTTTACCATATAGATTCAGCTTTTCTCTATCTTCTGGTGGGTATAATTCGTTTTCAAAAAATTTTACAGTTAGTTACGTCATTATTCTTCTGGATCGATATTATGTATCATTTGATCAAGTTGCCGATAAACCGATATTCTCTTCACTTTGGAATCGGCTGTCTGGTTTCAGTACTTGTTGTTCGTGCTTGTTGCTTAACCACAATCAATTTTTAGGTTTGCGCATTCCATAGATATTATGTTAATGGAGGAGATTTTACAACAATGGGTACCTGCTATTTGTCAACGTTGAATTCAACAACCTTTGAGAATATGGACCCCTTATTAGATCCTTGTAAGCTCACAACTTTACATATTACCTCATAAAATACTAAACTCATTTATTTTTCACGAAGTGAAGTGAGTTGTGATTTTGTGAATCATCTCCCCAATATTCATCTACATTATATTTTGTTTATGACTCCTAGTCCATATAAAGTTACATTTAGGAGTGAGAATAATTCGAAATAACATACAGTTATATCAAATTTGAAAATAATTTCAAATGAATAACCTCGCAGTCTTCTCATAATTTTCGATATTGATGTTTCTTCAAATTATTCTCACTTCATGATGTGTAATTTAATATGGCTGATGATGTAAGCAGAGTACGAAAATGGAACCTCAACAAAATATTTAGATAAATATTTTGAAGATGACCTCAGAGCTGTCTTTTCTCTTCGAACTCCCACCATTTATTCTTTTTCCAGATGTACCTGTTGCAGATAAACGTTATTATTTATATGGCCAAGGACAAGCCGGATTCTCAGCACATTTCTCTAACGTATGTAAATCCACAGTTCAGTTACAAGTTACCAATTTCGATTCGAACACTATTAAAAGTAGCTACCTACCTCTAACTTTTTCCACCACTCAGATAAAAATGCCGTCTGCCTTAACTAATTCAACCCCTATTTGGAACTCAATCAATTTGCCAATAAGGATGAAATCCAGTCCGCTGGAATAAATTCTTCATATTGATACGGCGCCAAGCTTCCAATGCAGAAACATTGACAACTACGAAACACCGCATTCCACCGCGAGATTTTGTTGAAAACCCATGCACAGTGTCGTCAGTAGGTATAGGAGGAATAGTCAAGAGGTCACATGTTTGATTTGTAATCCTTGTCGAATCTGAAGGAATTCCATTTTCTCATTTTCGTTCTCTTCTTCGCCTAAATCAATATTCAAAGTACTGTGTAGTGAAAAACAGTACACCTCACTACTTTTTGAACAACCAATAATTCTTCAGTAGTATAAACCCTAATAGCACACAACGTCCTAGGGACGTCCCTATTTGGTACAATTCATGTCCGAATGTCACGGACCAAAAATAAGTGTCCTTGGGCCTTCCCATCCCGTACATATCATGCAATGTTCGAGCAAGGACGTCCACGGAATGTCCCAGCAGGTACATCATTTCAAATGTCCTAGAAATAACATCCCTTAGACGTCCCACGTGGTACATATTGTAGAATGTCCATGCAAGAACGTCCTTGGGATGTCCCTGATGGGATATGATTTCAAACGTTCCTTTAGAGACATCCATCAGATGTCCCGAGTAGTACATATTCTGGCATGACTTCAAATCTAATATAATGTCCCTTCTAGGCAACCATGAAATGTCCCTGATGGTACCATCAGGGACATTTCATGGTCCCTGATGGTACCTTCCTTCAAATATCTCTGCACAGACACCCTTGATATTTCCAGGATCGTATATCAATCGAAATGTCCCTTAGGGACATCCTTCGTATGTCCCTAGGGATATCCAATTGGTACATGAACTGTACTCTTCTAATGTCCTAGAAATAACGTCCTACGGACGTCCCAGTCGGTACTTTCAATATGTGGTCCCTGCAAGGACGTTAACTTACACCTCGCCGACGCTCAGACATCTACTGGAGGTACACTTCCCGGGAGGAGCCGGTGTTGACCGGCCGGCTCCGCAAGTACAGCTGGTGCCTCAGGAGGACTGGCAGCTGGCGGAGAGGGTCGTTACCGATGGCGCCATAGCCTGGGCAGTGAATGAGTTCAAACCATTTAATGCAGCAGGTCCTGACGGAATTCTTCCGGCAATGCTTCAGAGGGGCCTGGGACTAATCACCCCGGTATTGGGAGGGATTTTCCGGGCTAGTCTGGCGCTTGGATATGTTCCGACAGCCTGGAAATCAGCAAGAGTAGTCTTTATCCCAAAAATGGGAAAAAAGGACTACACAGTGGCAAAGTCTTTCAGACCCATTAGTCTAACATCCTTCCTGCTCAAATCGCTGGAGAGGGTGGTGGACAGGTTCCTGCTAGAGGGGCCCCTGATGGCGAGCCCCTTCCACAGGAACCAACATGCATACAGAGAGGGGAAGTCGACTGAAACGGCCCTCCATGCTGTAGTGCGAAGGATCGAAAAGACATTAGAATTCAAAGAGGTAACGCTGGGGGTGTTCTTCGACATAGAGGGGGCCTTCGACAAGGCAAGGACAGCCACTATACAGGCAGCACTACAGGCCAGAGGAACTCCTCTGGCAATGGTCAGCTGGGTAGTGTCGTCACTGACTAGTAGAAAGGTAGAAGTAGTTCAGGGAGACCATAGACTGAGTACGGTGGTTGATGGGGGCTGTCCCCAGGGAAGTTGCCTTTCTCCCCACCTATGGTGCTTGCTCATGGATGAACTCTTGTGCAGGCTTACCCAAGGAGGCTTCGAGGCGCAGGCATACGCAGACGATGGATTGGTTCTGGTGAGCGGCCGATTCCTAGGGGTTGTCTGTGAGCGTATGCAGGTAGCCTGCAGGATAATCGAAAGATGGTGTGATAAAGCGGGGCTCTCTGTCAATCCGACAAAAACAGAGATGATCCTATTCACCAACCGAAGGAAAAAGGACGGGTTTAAACCACCTATTATGTTTGGCCAAGAGTTGGAGTTAGTCCAACAGGTCAAATACCTAGGTGTCGTCTTGGACTCAAGACTCTCATGGAGGCTACAGGGGCAGAGCGGTTTCAGAGATATTGGGGAATAACTGAAAAACGAAGCTGTTACGGACCTATGTTCACATGAAGAATTTTCCTTAAAAGCATCCAAGGATTATCGCCCTTTATCAGCATTCAATTATGAAACACCCTGTATAGAGACAGAAGTTGGTCCTGCTTTGAGGACAGCTATATCCTTCATAAATAAGTTGTAGATAAATGTATAAACCCTTGTTCAACTAAATAGCTATTATCAACAGTGAGTTTCTCAAAAATTGTGTGAACTATTAAGGACCCAAATGTTACTATACTCAACCGTTAGATATACAATTGTTACAAAAATATAGATTCAGAATGATCTGCAAAATACATATGTTCCAAAATTATTCGAGATTGTATAATAATATTTTCTAAGGATAATGCATATACTTTTAGTTTTTCCGATATAAACATAATATGAACAGTTCACCTCAATCTTTTTCACTGAAATATTCATGTACATTTCGAACATTTCCATTCAAGACACATACAGGTGTGTTTTTACCTAGATGTCATGATTCCAATATATAGCTATATGGATGCAAAACATATTGTAAATATCTGTAACTATCTTCATTCCTATCAAAAATATCAAATAAATGAAATAAATCAACTGTTTTATAGCATCGCGGTGATTTCATTGATTTGGTGTTGGGTGCCCCTGGAGTGTATAACTGGGCTGGAACACCCATAAAAGTCAAATATGAGGTGATCAATAGCCCTCCTGCTAACAGAAGAAGGAAAAAAAGAGCCACTAACTATCACAAGACAGTCGCTATTCCTGATACCAGCGAAACACTTGTCGACAACATACTGTTTGGTAAGAACCCATCATGTAAATCGTATTCCTAAATCTTTTTATTAGCAAGTTCTATCTTCTTCATATCTATTGAGTAAACATAAATCTGAAATTCCTGCTTACCCACTTCATTAAATTTGCGTTTGGTGAGCGTACTCGGATGTTTTTCAAGTACCTATTGAAAAGGTCAGAAAAATATCTAGTCCTTAGAGTCGTTGACAGGCTGAGTCAATGGGAGACTTCGCTCCAAGTTGCCAACCTGAAAATCTCTACTAATGACGAAGCAACATTATGGAAGTTTGAATAATCAAATAGCTTAATTTTGATGAAATCTGATTGTAGGAGTTTACTGAGCTCTCTAATCGGAGTTAGTTAGAGGAAAAAAATAATTTTTGTGATCTCTAGTTCTGATTAGTTGAAAATTATGTTGATGCACCTGCTTTCATTCTGAAATCGTCGTCAACTTTTTTCACATGTCACATTTTTGTTTCATTTTTAAGATTATTTGAACAACAACATCATTCTTTGGTAAAGAAGTGTGATCTTCGCATTAGGAAGAAAGAATATATTTCATTCGAGTGCTAAAAGTCGATCCAGGCATGACATGAGAATAAAACAATGAAGTTTCAACCTTTTTCTGAAATAGAAAATAACCCCCAAAGAAGTGTCATAAGTGAATGAAAACACAACTATGTGGAAACGACGAAATCACAGTCGATATAAATAAAAAAACTAACATCTATGTAATAATGAGCTTTTTTCTAGTAGAAAAATAACAATAAAGAAAAGAAATTATTGAATAAATATTTTGAAAGCTCACATGACTCACCTTGGATGAAAACTGGTAAAAATTTCCATTAATAGATGTCAGAATACAACATCAAAATAACCTACGTTTTAGACACAGATGGATAGCTGAAATCACAAGAATTTATTATAGCATGAGCAGATAGAGTATGGATAGTGAACTAATATAAATGAACAACAATAAAATGAAGCCTTAATAACGATGTTATGTTGATTACCATTACGACGAGTCGAGAGTAGCCCCAGACCAGAAAACTTTAGAACCCTCACATCCAGTCTATTATAGGTTTGCACGTTTCTAATGAGAGTTTTTTGATCATTATTCGAAGTTCGAACGTGATTCGATCTTACTGATTTTAGTGATTCATTGATATAGGTCGCGTGCACGAAGACCGACCCTGGAGGCAAAATATTGAAACACAACCTCATTCTTCTGTGAATTATTGAAACACAACCTCACTTTTTTATTTGGTTACAGAGGAATCAAAAGGTTGAAATAGTTTTTCACAATATTTTGGCATACGAATCGTGTTTCTTGCGTTATTCATTAATTCAAGCATGCCTTCGCATTGTGCTGTTGTACAATGCACAAAAAATGCAGCAAGAGACTAGGGAATATGATTTTTCAGGTAAATAGTAATCTCACATAGTTAGCATTATGAAATGTTGTCATTCCTTATCAAAATTCCTTCTGCCTTCTGTCACTCCTGCAATACAAGCTAATGCTGCCAATAGATTGAAAATGTCTACAACACACACGATCGTCAGCATGTCAGACCAGTCCTACCGATTGATTGCATGAATCCAATCTTCTTGCATTATTCTAGAAATTTCAGGTATATTTCTATTATTTGATCCTATTGCAAAAGGAATTCCGATGAGAAATCAGAGAAATAACCAAATTTCAAAAATGAAAACTATGTGAGTGACTATAGTAGGTACTTACTTTTGAATCATAATGTACCATCCGGATTTCTTCATCTTCCGCTGCAGTTTTTGTGCATTTTACAACAGCACAATGTGATGGCATTAGCGAATTGATGAATAGCGGAAAAATACGATTCATATGCCAAAATAATTGTGGAAAACTATTTCCATCACTTGTGAACAAATATGTTTTGCCTCCAGGGTCGGTCATCTGACAGTTCTTGCACGCGACCTATACCATTTTTCACTCGTGACACTACTGACACCATTGAAAGTATTGACATATCAATATTGACGTACCGCAGATGCACCAACATGATTTTCAGATGTGATTTTCACAAAAACTAATTTTTCTAAATGGATACAAGAAGATCAAAGTCATTTCCACACATTATTGCTCATTATACTCCACCAAATGAATCCAGGTGGTTCGATCTCAGTTTCCTTCAACTTCCAAAAAGTAAGATTTTAAACTTAGAAATGCGTTTTTCTCGAAACTCACTTTTTGTGACATTCCCCATTTTTCCCCTGTGGACTTCATTTTGAAAGAATACAAAATATTTTGACAGTTCTTGACAAAACGAAAATATGATCTCTGACACTGAATAACCTTGCTATTGTCGTAATTCAAGAATATCGAATTCGGAAGTGGGCTCTGGTTTGGCGGCCGTTGCTATAGGTAACGGCTACGAAGTTGTACGATACTGCACGAAATAGTTATTTGTTTAACTAGGCAGCAAAGTAGTAGATTGACTGCCGAGGCTGAATTCATAGCCGAGCGTAGCGAGGCTAGGAATCCAGCTAAGGCAGTCAATCTACTTTGCTGCCGAGTTGAACATATAATTTTTTCTCCGATTGTTCATAATGATATATATCTCTTTATTTTTCCTGTAATGTTCAATTAAAATAAAATTTGATAGAAATCGCAGTTGTTGGAATGGTTGGTTGCTATGGAAATGCCCATAATAATTATAGTTTGACAATTCATGAAATTTCTGACAGTTGTGCGAAAAAATATCGGATTATTTAAATTATTATATAATGGACAGTGATAGCGACCTGGAAGTACTTTCACCTCCAGAAATGAGGAAGGTGGCAAAAAAATAGAGTTGAATTTGTTGCCGGAGAAGTCTCGGGTGAAATATGAAGGAAATTATAAACGATTTATGGATTATTAATTTTGCTGATACGTACCAATCAGCAAAGTACCCACTTTGCTGCCTAGGCAGGAAAAGTAATACTTTGCTGATTGATATGTGTCAGCAAAATTAATATTTGCTGCCAATCGGATAAAAAACATATTATGTGAACCAAAACCATAAACTTGTTTGTCTTGTAAAATATTGCTTGTATTGAGTATTTCCGTTGAAGTGATGTTGACAATTACTTTCACTCTACCAAAAACAAAAATTAATTTGGAAGAACGTGCAAGAAATATATGGCATAGGAAAGTCAGCTTAGGCATATACAGGGTGTTCCTTAATGATATACTTATATTCAAGGGGCCGATTCTTCGACCCATTTCAAGAAAAAAACTTCATATGAAGTATGTCGTGAACGTCCTAACTTTTGAGATACAGGGTGTCAATGTTGAAAATATGCATAGATTATTTTTTGTCCACCCTGTATAGCTTTTCGTGATGGCAAAATTCAGTCTGCTATGTGACTGAATCGGTATACAAATTTCAAAATGTAACATACTGTGGTTATCTAGTAATGGATGTCCTGGATGGAGTACTCGGACATCAAAATTTGAAGTCTGGTATCGTTTTTCCGTTTTTTCTCGAAAACGAATTCTATCGAGTATCAACAAGAGGATCTTTTTTGTACATAATTAAATAGCATCTTATGACATTGCATACAATTTGAAATTTTTTTGTCGTTGCTCACTTTTAATTAAAATATAAACAATAATATTCCCGTAACGGTGCCACTGGTAGAGAAAATGAAAATGTTTGTACATCAGAAAATGCACCTTGTTTCATAAAACACGTGTACTGAATTTCATAAAGATGTATACAATATTGTCTCAGTTATTAACAAAGAACTGAATATTTTTCAAAACTTCATCACCCTGTATCTCAAAAGTTAAGACTTTTAGGACATACGTTCATATGAATTTTTCTTCTTAAAATGAGTCAAATAAGCACCCCCTCAAATATTAGCATGTCTTTAAGGAACACCCTGTATATGTCAGCTCATTTGTGTCCACATGTGCATTAAGTGAAAGAGCAAAATTTTTAGGTTATGCAGTTACTTCAGGATATTTTTATCAAGATGAAACACTGTACTATGCAGCAAGTACTCCAAAAGGAAATGATTACAAGGGAAAGGTCAGTTCGACTTTCATAAATCAGGAACCTTCACAAAAAAACTACATTCTAGGTTGTTATATTTGAGTTTGACAGTTCGAGAGCAATCCAGGGAAAAGAAACAAAACTGGGTGAGCAATTCGGGGAATATTTTGGCGCTTCTATCGCTTCAGGAAAAATCAATTCAGACAATCTGGACGATTTAGTTGTGGGAGCACCTTATTTCAAAGACAAATCATACAATGAAGGAAGAGTTTATGTATTCCTCAGCGAGAGAGTGAGTATTCTGTGTCAAAGTGGATTCGAGAATGAATTCATGCAACATCACTTACAAGTCAAGTCAAAGTCTGATTTTGACGAAAAAAAATCAGTAATTAGCAAAGTGGCGCCTCCTCTATTATTCGATAAAGATGATAATGATAATGATAATTTATTTTATATAAAATTACAAGAATTTTACACTCGTCACAGATACACTTCACAATCGAAACTACAGGCACTACAATAATATAAAATTTTAAAAAAAGTAAAGTAAAACATGACACACCAGAATAAATCCATGGTTCAAATATCAACATCAAACTCGCATGTACAGGAGGGCATGTGGAGGAGAAACTCCTCAACTGAATAAAAACAATGTAACATCAATATATCACGTATTCTTTTCTTAATTACTGAATAAGTTGAACCTTTATAGCTGTGTGGTAGGGCATTATAGAGCTTTTAGCACTGATATATCTATCACCATCTGTTAAACATTTTTTATGAATGAATAGAAGGCACTCCATTATATAGCAACAGGGTGATGGAAGAATTGATAATTTTTTGAAAAGAAGTCTACAGTGAGATAGATAGCTACTAAAACTCATAATCCGTATTACTTTCTTTTGTACTACAAATACTTTTTCTTTGTGACTACAGTTTCCCCAGACTATTAGTCCATAAGTGAGTATACTATGAAACAAGGAGAAGCCATCCTTAAATGCTGGATATCTAACTGATACCTTAATTGTCTTATTCCAAATGTTGCTCTTGCTAAGCGCTTGCATAGATTTTGAGTGTGATAACCGAAATCAAACTTCGAGTCTAAGTGTATACCTAAGAGCTTAACAGGTTCGCTGTGATTGCTGTTTGTAGTAGAAAAGAAAATATTTTGAGTTTTTGTCTCATTGAGAGTCAGACAGTTTGTGCAGAACCTTTGGATATTGATTCAGACTGTTCTAGATTAATAAGTGATTCTTGACTGGTCTTGCTAGTGGCTATATATGTTGCATCATCAGCGAAGAAAATTGATTTTACAATTTGACCAAGATTAATAGCCAGATCATTGAAATAAATGATGAAAAACAGGGGTCCAAGTACGGATCCCTGAGGGACCCCATACTTCACTGCATGAGCATCAGATATTCGGTTGTCATGCTCAACATAGATGCCAGCACGCTTAGACGTTACAAACTTCTGAATGTGGCAAAGCTTATTGTTTATATTTAGCTTTTGTACTTGAATTATGACATTTTAGCAGAAGATACTTTTAACGATGTATTAAGTACTGTTGAATATTCTATAAAATTATTATTTTTTTCCAAACTAAGTATAACATACGGTCTCATGACGATGTCAACATGTATTTGGTGGTATGATCATGAAAAATTAATCTCAGTCCAATGGCCACGTAAATCTGTCAACTATGTGAAATCAATTTGTGAAATCAATTTGTGACAGCTATTTTCTGTGTTTTATGAATCTTGTGTTTATTTTCCGTCGTGCTTAGTCAGTGGGGTAGACGTTATATTAAGGAGTTGAAGCAATGCAGAATGCGTAAGCGTAAACGTAGAATTTGACATCTAAGCATGCGCAGTATGCGAATTTCCTACGCCAGCCCACACAGCACATGTATGTCCAATGTACGTACAATGTACGTCCACTTCGGATCGTGAGGACGTCCAATGGACGTACTTGAGTGGACGTTCAAGGTCCAATGAACGCCCACTGGATGTCCTGAGGACACCACTTTGGACGTCCAGTGGATATCTATATCCGGATGTACAATGGATGTCTATATTTGGACTCACAATGGATGTCGATATCTGAGCATCCATTGAACGTACCAAATTGGGTGTTAAACGTCCAATGGACGTCCATTGGATGATGTCCTGAGGACACCCTTCTGGACGTACAGTGGATGTTTATTTGTGAGCATATAATGGATGCTCATCTTTAGAAATCAAATGAAGAAACAGTAGGTTGCAAATACAGGTTCTTCTATTTGGTGACGATTACATAAATATGAATATATCGTTGATTCATGTCTTCTTCAGTCCACTTTAAATTCTTGTTTCTGTAAGAAAAATGAAATTATAAGTTGCTATATAGGCAATATACAGTGTGACCCATTTGAAATGGAACCACCCCTGTATCTTACGTAATCGTTGGGTAAGGATCCTGAAATTTGCTGGAGCGAGAGATATACCAAAAATGCACTCTATGACCAAGTGGGGTCATCTTCAGTGATATACACTGCTCGCCAACAGCCATGAAACCACCCCAATTTCCGGAACATGATATTAGGAGTCAAAATAGGTTGAAAATCACTTCAGATTTGGAATCAGGACGCCAAATTCACTAACTATTAAAATTTTTCTTGGAAAATTTTCAGTTCGGAAAAATGAAATTTTGTCGCATTTTTTATGGAAGCACCCCCGTATCTCACGTAATTATTGAGGTAGGGTTCTGAAATTTGCCGGAGGAAGAGGAAGTCCAAAGATAAAGTCAATTACGTGAGATACGGGGGTGCTTCCATAAAAAATGCGACAAAATTTCATTTTTCCGAACTGAAAATTTTCCAGGAAAAATTTGAATAGTTAGTAAATTGGGCGTCCTGATTCCAAATCTGAAGTGATTTTCGACCTATTTTGACTCCTAATATCATTTTCCGAAAATTGGGGTAGTTTCATGGATGTTGGCGAGCAGTGTATATCACTGAAGATGACCACACTTGGTCATAGAGTGCATTTTTGGAATATCTCTTGCTCCAGCAAATTTCAGGATCCTTACCCAACGGTTACGTAAGATACAGGGGTGGTTCCATTTCAAATGGGTCACACTGTATAAGTTGCTATATAGGTAGAAGTCGATACCTACTTCGTATGATCTGGTCCTAAACATTCTGCATTCCACAATTCATCACAAACACAACACGTCATGTTCACGGTCATTTACTAACTGAAAATGGCGTCAGCATCACGCCAGACGCTACCGTTTGTCTACCGACCGATCTGACCTTCTGCCTCTCCTCCACGTGGCAGAAAAATCAATAGTCTACGTCCATCTCTGAACGTACAACGGTTGTTCATTTAAGGTCCATAAACCTTCAGAATTAAAATGATTTCAAATAGATATTTACTTTGAACAATTCTTCATATACTCATAATTAATGTTCATTCTTCATCCATGAATGCTTAGACTTAGAATGGCCGTTCAATGGACGTCCAATAATGTAAGTCTGTCTCTGTACGTACAATGGCTGTTGATCAAACGTCCATGAGAGTTTTAGTCCGTGAGATGACGGATGTCCAATGGACGATAATTTTGGAATATACATTGTACATCCAATGCCAGTGCATTTGAAAAAAATTAATAACCTACATAAATTCAAAAAAATGCTAAAAATTCACCTCACTGAAAATGCTTCGATAATCAATAATATATTTTGAACCTGAAGTAGTCAAAATTAATTCACTCGGAATATCCTCTCTCTCTCTCTCTTTCTCTCTTTAATTGCACCTGTATATATTATCATTCTATTCGAAACACAAATGTGATTGTTTCTTCCTCCGTCCTCTACTCATTCCATTGACCACATTTCTGTTGTCTAATACCTACTCGATGAAATGCATTCGTTTCAAATTTAGGGATTAGGCACAATACAAGCATATACTTATGCTTAGGTGTAATCCTCGTAATTTGAACGATTTTAATATCAATAATGTACAATATGTAAATTTTGTTGTTTGTTATGGAATTATGAATAAATTGAAATTGAAATTGAAATCTTTATACGTACAATGAATACCTATACATTCTACGTACATGAGTGGTTGGACATTGAGTGGGCGTTCACTGTACATACAATTCAGAGCATCCAATGATAATGTTTGTACGTACATTGGGCGTCCAATGGATGTTATGTGCTGTGTGGAAGGAGATACGTCTGACGTATGTTTACGTCTTGCTACGCTGGCGCTAAACGCAAATCGTATTGAACCGAAGGCGTTATACCTGTCTAAGCGAATACAAACGATAACTATTCGGTTTTTACTTTAACCTCACTTTTTATCACATGAAATAACATTTATTTGTTATTGCGCTTCTTTCTTGTGTTGTGCTTCGAATAAATCATGGACAATTCAAATAAAATAATTCTCTTTTCCTTGGAAGATGATCCGCATCTAGCAAGGGAAGTTGTAGACCATAATCCCTACGAAGATACGGGCCGTTGGAACCTCATCCAACTGAATATAATGTAAATTACTGGAAGCTTCCTGGTATTTCTAGAGCTCTAGCTAATGTTGGAATGTCATTTTTCGCAAATCGAAATATATTTTTGCATTCTATTTCAAATAAATTATTTAAATTGATATCTCTATATAATTCCCTTCGATTACGATATTGGTTCTCTGAACATTACAGGATATCCCTTTTCGTGGGATCCAGAACATAAAAAAAAAATAACTATTACGCCGTCTTAGATGGTCCGCCATACTGGATTTAAAATGACGTAAAAGAAGTTGAGGGTGAAAGAGTTACTTTTGTTTCACCCTGTATAATGATCAAACCATCAACTTTTCTCAGAAACTAATATTTAGGCTAACATTCTGGAACATGAATATACGATTTGGTCGAAATTTCAACAAAATCGGACAAGAATGAAAAAAGTTACAGGGCGAAAAATTTGGCTAATTTTTTTGGTGACCGTTTTTTTTTCCTTGAGTGTAGTATGCTGTGTGCGAAAACTTCCTAATTTCCGGATGAACCGAAAGTCTGGAAATATATTCTCAAACCTAAGCAGATGGCTCAACAATTGATATTCGTTTCTGGAAAGGCACCGTCAAAATAAAAACTGAACATTATTTTTTAGAAGGACTTGAAAATGTATACAGTACTAACTGGTAGAAGCACAAACAGTCAATTTGGATCAGCTATCATGTGTTTAGGAGACATTGACTTAGATGGATATGGAGGTAAGTTGTGTTTTCTTCTAATTTTGACATGTTATTTGTCCTTTTTCAACTGACGGAAGTTTTGAAACGTCTCATACTTCACGTAACCAGTTGCAACACCAGTTACGAAATAAAAATATGGATGGGCGAAGAGAATAATGCATTTTGTGTCGCTTCCTCGAAATCCCTTTGAAAATATGAACTTGAACGTTACCACCGATACAACAAGGCCTGCATGCTCCGTGGGTGACGTCACTTAGTGAGGCCTAACCAGCGGCTCGAAACGACAAGCGCTTATAGGCTTATAAGGCGACCGCGTATTTCGATTTTAGTTTTAGATCATCATTGAGCCGATTTTGCTGTTTTTTGAAGGGCTTCCGGTTGAAAAATGATGCCAGTCGTCAACTGAGCCCTTCTTCGCACCCCATTCGATTTTATTATGGAAAAACGAAGTTTTAAAGCAAAAACCAGAATAAAACACAAATATCCACCTACAGCAACCCATTCGAATTAAATATATTGGAGAAAATTGTGGTGAAGGTAAACTTCACACCTACTTATACAGGGCCCGCAGAACTTAAACTTATCGAGAGATTGATCGAAAGAAAATTGTGGAAAATGTATTTTATTTTGATTGACATGCCGTTTGTTACAATTACCTATATTTATCTTGGAGAATTCCTATTACCTGAAAAAATAACCAGTGAGTGTTTTCAATTTTCTGTTGTTGGATTTTTCACCCAAGTGGATCGTTACACTTGAAACCGTAATTTTTAAGGGTAAAACTGCATTTATCATGCGATGGTTTTTTTTGAAAAATTTTTTCGGTACTCACGTATTTTTGTCTGATAAACCGAATTTTATAATGAAAATGTGAACAAACCACTATTTATTGAGATATTTCAAGAAAAAGTTCGAAATTTCGCCTTCTTTCTCCCCTTGTGTTGGGGGCATTTGAAGCTACTTGCTCTTATTTTGTCATTGGACACTTTATATACTCATGATGTACTTCGATGGCACATTTTTATATAGAAAATTCAACAGGAAATATGATTTTTATGGCGAGTTTTTCATATTTAGTGAACAAGCATTCCAGATGACGACCATTTAATCAATAGTCAATCAGAATACGAGATGTCAAATGTAAATAGATTGCTTTCGAATGACATTACACACGCCATTATTTTGAATGATATTCTTCCTTCTTTTCACTAAATATGGATTAATCTCAAGAAAATCATATTTATAGTTGAATCATATATAAATTGTCCAATATGATGAAAAAAGAAGGGAAATTTGTTCTAAATGCCATCCAGAAGACAGGTGAAAAAGAAGGTGAAATTTGGAACTTTTTAGTCGAATATCTTCATGATAAATATCATGATAAATGCAGTTTTACCTTTTTAAGTAGAGTGTTTGTAGTTCATGTTAATATGATAGTTGCAATTTGATCATTGGAATGAATTCTGCAATCATTGCCACGAGGCAAATGACCGTTTTCAGAAAGAAATTTGAGAATGAGAATTAAAAATGCCCGTTTATTATGAACATTCAAGAAAATTTCCTCGAATTCAAAGATGATTTTGTTGACTATAATATACGAATACAAAACTTACTGCACAATCAAAGGTTTTCTATTTTTCCTCTACTTATACTTTTTATTTGTCTTCTATTATTAATTCATCATTATAAATTGAGCTCTGTTTACTACTGAACTTAGATGGAGTAAAATCCTCGCGGTGAATTGCATATACCCACATTTTCGATAGCTCCTCGTCCAACGGGAAACTAAAAGCATGAACTTTTGAACCACCCACATAATTCCCCCGACAAAAGGGAACACAACACTTGAAAGGCATTGTTATTTCGCCGATCACAACACAAAATATTTCACAAAACAGTAATTTTTCCGCCAATTATTTTGATGAATGAACAACAAAAGAATTCGGGACCGTTTCAAAAACATACGTGAATCACCGATGAATTAACACGAACTGACGCGTTAGTCGACAAGCGATAAAATAAAACACTGGCCTCTCTTGGTGACGTCACGAGCTGTTTACGTCAGAGTCTGCTGGCCTTGTTGTATCGGTGGTAACGACTTGAATCAGCCATTTCCACTTATAAAGATCAAACGAATCTATTTCGTGAATTTAGTCGCTGATATATTTGTTAATAATCGGTAGAACTCATGTAGAAATTTCTGTTCAAGCTAAATTTTCCATCGAAATTTAAAAAATATTATGTACAGGGTGATTCACCATAAATGTCCCCCCCCCCTCTATCTCATTTATTTTTTAACCAATTTAAAAATTTGAAAAATCATCCGAAATGATTTTTCAGAAAAATTTTTCCCGTTGCAAAATACAGGGTGCTGGGACCAAACGGTCTACAGGATACTATTTGATTTTTTTTAAAGGAACACCCTATTTTTCATTGTATTTTTAGATTCTTTCTAAAGAGCTGATTTCATCAATGTATCACACTCGGGGTCTAGCGGAAATGATTACAGAGATATAAGGTGTTCAAAATCGAGATTTTTCAACTTTAGGATTTTTCTGTGACGAAACTATTCATTATCGGTAAGATCGGAAGACATATACCGGGTGATCAAGATTCTGAATTCTGCACGACCCTGTATTTGTTTCAATTAAATGTCAGTAGATAGTTGATCAAAAGTTGAGATAGGGACATGTGAGCCGTTTTGACCAATAATGAATAGTTTAGACAAAAAAAATTCCTAAAGTTGAAAAATGTCGATTTTTCACACCCTATATCTCTGTAATCATTTCCGCTAGACCCCAAGTGTGATACATCGATGAAATCAGCTCTTCAGAAAGAATCTGAAAATGCAATAAAATACAGGGTGTTCCATTTAAAATAACAAAGTTGTTGCTACTTTTCGATAGAAGCGGCAACGCCGCAGAGCTGAAAATATTTTAGATCGATAGACCAAGAGCAACTACGTGAGTAACCAAAATTTCAGAATGATCCTATGTCCCGTTCTCCATAAACGTCTAACGTATCGTCGACCGTGAGTTACCCTGTATATAAATTATATGTCATGATTAGGGCTGCGCGATATGAGATTTCACCTATCGATTATCGATAAGTCAAAAACATCGATAAGTTTGATATATCGATAAATATCGATAGTTATCGATATATAGTTAGTTATCGATACATCGACATATCGATATTTCTTCAATTATATATCGATATATCGATTTTTTTCCACGTCTAACTCAAAACAATCTTATATTTTCTCCAAACTAAAGCCTACGGCTTATGCTACAAACTTCATTCTCGTGGGAAATAACAATCATTCCTTGCTAATTAAACAATATACTATTCTTTCAATACTCTCTCAATTTTTTTGCCATCAGACATTGCAATTGGTGCCCCCTATGAAGACGATAACACAGGAGCAATATACATTTATGGGGGAAGTAATACAGGTGTTGACAAAATTCCTCGTCAAATAATTCTTGGAAAACAAATCACACCGGAAATACTAGGATTTGGTATCATTATCTCTAAGGCGATTGATATGGACCACAATAATTACAAAGGTATGTTTTCGATTATAATTGCAAGTGTGCATAAAAATCACCGATAATTTTGCAAGAAAGCGTGTCATCTAAAAATTGCAATTTGTATAAGATAACACGCTTGCATGCAAAATCATCTGGTCATTTCAATGCACGAACATAATAAATTGGAATATTTCACGAATGAAGAAATTATCGATAAATTGTATTAGTAGGAGAGCTGGCTGCAAATGTTTGCCGTCATCTGATACCCTAACAACACAGGGATGTCCTAGGTACATCCCTTTTTTGTCCCGCGGTACAAGGACATGATTGGGACATCCAGGGGATGTCCTGCAGTGGTTGTCCAGTGGACATCCCGCCCGGTACATCCCTAGGTAATCCTATTCGTGTCCCTGGAGTATCTGATATCCATTCACATCAGAGTCATTGAATTTCATCAAACTATTTAGTTGAATTTTTTCGAAAATGTTTGTTTCTCTTCCCGAAAATGATTGTAATGAAAATAAAGAATAAAGTCTCTGAACTTCTTAAGAAATTACCATTTTTCGCAGACAGAAACCGTACATGCATAATGCCCCTCATTTTTAAACACCCAAGAATGATAATAATTATACCCAATTCCTAATAAAGTTGTATTTATTCAGGTCTGTAGTTAATTCCTGTTTATAAATCTGTTTAGTACATAAATCTTCAGGAGGCATGATAGCCAATGGAGCAAGGTGCGTGCATGATAAGCCAAAGGTCCTGGGTTCAATCCCTACTCGAGCTGCAACTTTTTTCTTTTGTCGAAAGGATGTCCATGGGATATCCTTGGGACGTCCTAGGGATATCCTTCCATCGTACTTGGTACATCCCAGGGACGTACCAGAAGGACATCCCTTGGATGCCTTTTTTAGCGGCCAGCGGATGTCCCTGGGACATCCCTAGTATGTACGTTGTCGACAAAGGACATCCCTGGGATGTCCTAGTATAAAATCAGGGACGTCCATGGGAAGTCCCTAGGGTAACGAAATGTCATATCTTCCAAAGGCATGTATAATAGTATATTATGTAACAAGTGTTATAAACGTCCTTTTAGTAACGAGTAGTTTAAGCACGAGCGGAGCAGAGCGGAGCGAGTGTTTAATAAACGAGTGTCTAGAAGAGTTTATAAACACGTTACATACTATGATTTTTCTACGAACTCCGAAAATTACATTAACATACCTGCAATTCCTGCTAACCTACAAAGTACTTCGAAAGGAATGGGAATTGAGGACATAATACATGCAACTGCATGCAACCAGCGAGACACGTATAAGTGATATTGGTTGTAGATGTGCCAGTCCATTGCTTACTAACCTTTATTTCACGTTTATTTTCATGCTTAGCGCAGAATAAATGAATTGTTCTCAAAGATGGATGCTTTTATTTTACACTTCTTGGAGTTATGCAAGTACCAGAACATTCTCTTCGATTTCACTTTCGTCCACATTTCGCATATATTTTTAATGAAGAATTCTGATACAAACGAATATTGTTTGAATAATTCTGATACAAAATTCGAAAATAACAGTTGACAGTTGATACAATTGATAGGCCAGACATGTCTCAAATTACTGAAGCTGTGTTTAATGAACTGTGTTGCTATGGTAATGTGAATGTGTTTAAGAGATCGTGTTGCCATGGTAACGTGTTTAATATTTTGAATAAATCACAGATCGACAATCCGTGATTAATCGATCATTTAGCGTGGTACATATCCGTACGCTAAATGCCATTTTAGTTATGTGAGTAGAAAAACATTGTAATTTATCGAAAAGCACCTGTGCCAATCACAATCCTGAACAAAATGATTTAAAAATGGCATTGGTATCGCATGGCATAGTTCTCATCTCGTTATCAAATCGCGAAACCTAGTGCAAATTTCCGCATAGGAAAGTGCAATTTTCTATTCATTCTGCTCAGGATAGTGATTGGCACAGGTATCGTTCGATTAACTACAATGTTCTTACTTTTCTTTGGTACATATTGGGCGCCTCATGTAAACCTATTTTATTTTTTCAATCCAAAACCGTTTGTCTAACGAAAAAAAGTGAAGAGGTTCTTTTTGTTATCAACCAATGAGAAATTACAAAAGTGATTTTTATTTCCATGAAAAACAGTGGCGTGCCATTTTTTAATGTAATAAAATAATATTTTGGTCAATATCAACGGTTCAAAGAAAGGTAGATGATAATTATTCTCATCAAATTATAGCAAAATTTATCCTCTTCCAAAACATATAAAAATTGATATACCATTTGTAACGATATCTACCTGGAGATAGGTTATTTGGCACTTCAGTTCGGGTTGTTTAAATATCCAAAGAAATAACTCGGGCGCCACCTATATTATAGTGGTAGGTCCACTTTGCACCGGGCAGCTTCCAGCGAAGAATCGGTAATCCAGGGTTCTATGATTTAATATGTGTTACAATGACGCTACTAATGCAATTAACTTCCCTTATCCCGGATTACACGCTGCTCTGAATGAAATAACGTTTTGATCAAACAAGTCAATTTATTCCAAATCACTCAACAAGTTTGTACATTTATTTACACATCTATTTACAATAATTCAACCTAATCAGTTAAAACCCTTAAAATCCCAACCCACGCGTTCCGTCGCTCTAGTTATTATCATGATCAAACCGGAGTGACCCTCTCACGATAAATCGCGTTAAAAAAATCGGATGCCGGCAGTGAGCATCGACTTAGCAGATAGTACATTCCAGCTCAAAAACTAGTGAGAACAAGCGAGAAAAGCAAGCAGATCTAGTAAAAAGCTCAACACCAAGCGAAGCAACCTACTATAGTGCATCCTATGAATTTATGGATAACTAGATGAGTCACCTTTGTTATCCCGAAATTCCCTGTGAGTCGTAACCTCACCCTTGATGAGCCACCAGGGGACAGGTTCGCTATGCTGGGGAATACTTCACGACTCGATGAGCCACCGTTTTCGTGAAGAATTCAATGCACCCCACTGTGACTCGATGAGTCACCGTTTTCACAGGAAGGTACACTTCAGCTAAGCAGCTTTCCACTATTCAAGTCGATGAGTCACCGTTCTTGAAGAGTAAGAGAGCTCGACATATTCTACCAAGAAAACACTAACTCATAATATAATTATATATTATAATGCAATACTTTATATTTATAAAATCGTATATCTCAGTACTCTCACCCAATTGCTTGCTTGCTATGCAACTCGGTCTTCGGTGCTCGGTTGTACTGCGGTGCTTCTTCTCCGGTCGGTGTCTGGCTGTTGACTGCCTTGCCAATGATACAGGCTCTGGTAGCTCCGGTCTGTTCGGTTCCTCTCGTATCCTCTCGGTATCTCCCTCTCCTCGGTATCGGTCTTCTAATGTGGCCCAAGCGCTCTGTAGTCGATCTCGGCGTGAACTGCCTAACTCCTGTCTTCGCGATTCCATTTCGTAGCGCGTGCCTCCACTCTTGACTGAGAGAGGGAAGCGCGCTGCGCGAGCATTGCCGTATCGAATGCGAAGCCATATCATATGTGTGAGAGTTTTAAATCTAATATCCGCGGAATTGATTAATAAATAAATCAAATCAAATTTGCAAAAAGTATCTAGCCCGGTTTTATTTAATTATTCATCAGCCGCTCTGAACTTTTACAGAATACGAATGAAATGAATAAATGAAAATGAAAGTAATCACGAAAGAAATGTTCAACTGAAAATAAATGACTGTAACTTCGTTACACCCTCCCCCTACTTCAAAAAAAATTATGATGCCTATTATAATTTTATTGCGGAATAACCTAAATTATACAGGGTGTTCCGTTGGGAAACGGAAATACTTCAACGGTGGATAGAGGTGACCAAGGTGGTTCTGAATATACCATATATAATGGGTCTTACATGTTTCATTATCGAGATATAGGGTGTTTTATCAATTCTGGTAATTTCTTTGAACGCTCATAGCATACGAACCACCTGGTATATTTTTTTGATATTTGGTAGACATGTTTTCCTACTGCTACCCAAGCGACTTGTATATCCGTCATAAAAAAATTCCAGGCCCGGATTAACAAAAATTCAACATATTATTGGGTCCTCGAAAAAACACCCTGTATGTTTGAATTTACAAAATCCGCTTACATATCTGAAGAGAGCACAAAATGTTGAATGGATTTTTCCGTTTTTCATATCGAATTATGAAAATTTTGCAATTTTACAACTCATTTTATTCCATTTCATAGTCGTTGTCTGCATTTTTATGCCTGTGGAACGGGCCAGTGTTTATTCACAGGTCCTTACTTCATTCATTTACCTATTTATTTGTTTGAGACATATTTCCATGCACCCTGTATGTGGATTCACATATTTCAATATTTCTATTGTTTTGATGTTATAATTTCACTTACTTATTACATTCTTTATGTATTTGCGAATGTCATTGTCTGTACCTATGTCATCATTCAAATCTAGGTAGCTTTGATAATGACAGAACATTTGTCAAACAATTAACAGCATTCGCGAATTTCTCTTCATTGTTGTTATTTACTGATTTATTTATTCACCTAATTTTGAAAGAATGCCTCGTAAATTTTCCAATGAAGAATATGCTGATATGACGTATATTTATGGTTTTTGTGATGGAAATGGACTGGCTGCAAGACGAGAGTATCAAAGGAGGTTTCCTGATAGAAGAACACCCAATAACAAAACATTGGGACAACTTTTCAACTACATGCGAATACATGGAAGGTTTCCTACAGTACAATTGAATGAACACCACGAAAGAAGGCATGTTGATATGGAACGCAATATTTTGAATATGATTGAGAACAATCCAGAAATAAGCACTAGAAGGATAAGTAATGCTCTGGATATACCGAATACTACTGTTCATCGACGGTTGAAAAAAAATCACTTGTATCCATTTCACAAACAAGAAGTACAGAGGTTGGAGGTTGGTGATGAAAATTCTAGACTCAATTTCTGTAGATGGATAATACGGAATGAGAGAATA